CCAAGAAACGATCATCATTCCTCCAATGTTATGGCATCCAGACGACAGGGATGGCTTGCAAATGAGTCATACAGGCTCAGATCCGCGGTAGCTATGGGAGCGCGGGACAATCAATTATTCATGTGTTTACAAAGAGCTTTCCCGGTTGATGTTAACCAGAGCTGCTTGCAAAGAAGAGCTCTCCAGCTGTCCTCAGCCATCCCGGGCCTCCAACTAACAAGCTGCTTTAATTGCTGGGCAAGTCATCTGGAAGGTGCCCCTCCCCTAGACCAAGTAAACACCATCCCTTCGAGACTTCATTAGGCATAAAAATGTTAATCGGTAATAATTATGACAATACTTTATTTACAATACTCCCAGCAAATCCCAAAGAGAGAGAGAGAAGTTAGCCTTGACTTACATCCCACAGGGCTGCCCCAGGACTGGAGTCTGGACTACTGGAGATACAGGTCAGGGTTGGTAGACAGCATAGAGCAGGAAATGAAGGGAAGGAATCAGAGGCTGTGGGCTTCAGGAGGGAGGTAGGAGGAAGAGCCGTCTAGAATGTTCTGTGACGGGAAAGGAGCACGACGGAGGACCACCAAGAGTACGTAGATTAGGTTGGTCAACAGCCAAACATGAGTGAGCTTGACGCACCCATCAAAATCAGCCTTGGGAGAAGTTAGATGAGAAGATACTTCTCAGCCCCTGTTGTTACTACAGCCTGTCCAGGAAGACTAATAATAGGATTAGGGCAACTCCTCTTCCTGAGCTAGGCCAAAGAGGACGGGACCAGATGGCCCCACAGTCCCCTATCAGCTGTGTTTTGAGGGAGAACAGAATCATAGTCAAAGCTGTTGCAGGGGCCTCTCCCTCCGAAGACAATGCAGTCAAAGCAAAGGGATACCTCCGGTGCCCTTCTATTATCCCAATTCCAAGAGCCTTTGTTGAATCCTTCAACCAGATTCTTCCCCTTGCTTGACACTGGGCAACTTCAGACCCTATCGTAACTTACTTGTCCACGTCTAAGAAAGTGGTAAAAACAGTGTTCTTGTGGATAGAAGATCATGGGATAAAGTGAGAATATAAGTATGGCCAGGGGCAATAGGATCCCTGGGGTAGTTCTTCTTGATACAGTGGGAGGCAGCTCTAGGTAACAAGATGTGAGGAAAGGTAAAGCTAGCAGGTGGGAAGACAGTGCCCCTCCCTGGTGCATCAAGCATCTTGGAGAACTCGCATGGTATTGTTGTAATGCCAAGACTAGACTCTGTGTTCACCCCCCTCAACCCTGATCCACCCACTCCATCCATGAATGCAGATTTGGAAAATGAGTCCAAAGAAAAGGAATGCATCTCCCCAAGGCCCGTATTAGGAGAGCTGGTCTAAGGTATTCTCTCCATACCTCCTTCAACCTTTTATGCCTCAGTCCGGGGACAAGGGAGAAGACAAGAGGAAGCATCCCACGAGAGGCCTCCTTCATGTGACTGGGGGCTCTTCTAACTTCCTCAGCCTTCTCATGAGTGCACGACTCCCGCTCATCGTGATTCCTTGCTCCTGGCTGGTGCTCCCTCGGGAGAGCTGGAGGTCAGAACGGGTTTCTCAGGAGGGGGTCAGTTAGGAGTTTGGAGGAGGATTGGAGGAGACAGAATTCTTTGATGCAGGTCCCAAGACTCCAGTGAGTTGCTAGGCCTTTGAAGAAATCCTAAAGGAGGCATGCAGGATTTCCCAGAGTTATTGGTCCATGGAATTCTTTCATACGAGCATCCCTCCAGGCAAAGTTCCAGAATTTCATGGGCCAACAAAACCTAGGGAAGTGTAGTGTTAGCTCTAACACAATGCCCTGGTTAGAGCTCCAATTTGTCACACTATCAGAGTTCTGGGGACACAGGCTAGGAGCTCCAGCCTGCCATCACTGCTGGGGACAGCCTCACAGATAGTTTCCCAAAGTCACAAGCTGGCCTGTTCTACCAAAGGGGTAGCCCCCAACACGCACACCTCCTCACCCTGCCCCCCACACCTCCAAGGGCAGAAAGACAGGAGGAGGATCTCTCATTGTCAGACAACTGCCTGGTTTCTATCAGGCCGAACCTGATTCTTTTCTGCCCTTGTGTGGATAAGTCGCTGCTCTGTCTCCTGGTTGTGAAGCTCCGACTTTTTCTCTCGAACAGCCATGAAAGTTAGCCTTCGAGCCGTCTGCCCAGTGGAGCCTTCCCTACCTCTTTGTTTCAGGATCTCCAGCTCTGGGCTAGTAACCCTCTACTGTGACCACAGCACAAAGTCGCCACCCAGAATGAAACACGACCCCCACCAAGAGTGGACATTTCGGCCTGACCTCGAATGTCCATCACCCATAGCTGTTAAGATCTTTCTGAGGGTCTGTGATCGTCTATATTCCCGGTCCGCTATTTCAAGTGGAAACTGTGTGCTAATGTTCAGAATCCAAAATAAACGAGACATCAGCCCAGCCTTTGGCATGAACCAACTCATTAAATATAAAATAAACACAAGTAAATGGCTTTTAAATCTCCCTGACAGAAAGCTTGGCAACTACCCGGAGATTCTGGGGGTCATTGGAACTTCTCTCTCCAAATGGGAATCTTCCTCACACTCTGAGAGGCAGAAGGGGACTCCTGACAAATGATGGTATCCCGGTACCCCCGCCTCCCAATTTGAGACACGCTCTGTACTGCAGACAAGGACAGAGTCTGCGAGAAGCATGGCCTGTGACACAGAACGGGTCACTGGGGAATCGGACATTACTATTTACAAAGGGTTAGGAATTCAGGTTGAAGGCATTCAGCTTGCCGCCAATGATAAATCTCCAGGAACTGCCACCAAACCAACCCTGAGCTTCTCACTGCTGTCTCTCTCTTGGTTGCCCTGAGTTCATACTCACCTGGTTTCCTAAATCCTGTGTGCGTTCTGCCACGGGGTCCCAAGGTCCCCTTGGGAATGTGACTTGCTGAACTCTGATTTTTGCCTCTCTCTGTAGTTTCAGCATAAAGTGGATTTATCGGGGAAGGTGATGGGCCAGATGACCTGATGGATTGTTTTCATTCTCCACATCACGCCAAGTGTGCAAAACACAAACTGCAAGAATTCACCAACCAGAAAACATAGACACATGCACCTGTTTGCTTCTAATGTTACCTCAGAACTAGGCTAGATTCCAATGATTACTAACCTCTTTTACAAAACCGACGTGGAAAATGCACAGCTTTTGGTAAAAAGCATGTTCCCTTGACAGCCCGTCAAAGATGAGTGTTCGCCTGGGGAAGCCGCGTGTGAGCAGGTCCGTTTGTAAGAGACCCAGGTCTGGTCAGGTGGCAGAATTGTTGGCTTTGCCCATTCACATCAGTCAGCTTCAGAGTCTGATTTATGTGCCAAGAAGTTAGTAAGATCCAAAACTAGTCAAAGTAGCTTCCATTTACTTACAGTTTGGGGACATTTTTTCATGATTTGGTCAGCTCCTAAGGACAAAATGCCAGTGAAAGAAATGGTTCACCAACTTAGAGTTAAATCATTGGATCAGTAGAAAGATTAGATTTTTTTTTTGGTTGTTTTTTTTTTTAAGATTTTATTTATTTATTTGATACACAGAGAGAGATCACAAGTAGGCAGAGAGGCAGGCAGACAGAGAGGGGGAAGCAGGCTCCCTGCCGAGCAGAGAGCCCGATACGGGACTCGATCCCAGGACCCTGAGATCATGACCTAAGCCAAAGGCAGAGGCTTAACCCACTGAGCCACCCAGGCGCCCTAGATGTTGTTTTTTTAATGAACTAGAACATCCTTTCTTTTTCTCCTTTGAAAGGTTTTCAGTGGTTTATTTCAAATCACAAAATCACATTTCTTCTCATCCGTGGCCTCCAGAACTTTCTCACCTTGAATTTGAGGACGTGTAGCTGGTCATGAGCTAAGGTGGCGTACCAGTCATGAGTTGATGGGACAAGCAAGGATCCCAGAGGGCTTTGTGACAGCACAGCCATCCTCCTGAGAGCTTTTAAGAAATCAAATATTTACAGCTGAGAAGGAGAGAGCACCTGGAGGGTACCCCCACTTCCTTTAAAAAAAAAAAAAAAGTTCAGAGATGTAAAATTAAAACCCATCCACGGGTATTTTTTCAATGTTTTCCACAGCATGGGCTGAGCTACCATTCACCACCACTAGGTGGCATCCTCTCCTGGCCCCTTCTTTTGGCTCTTCTGCTAATAGGTGACACCATCATTTCCCTGGGCAACATTAAACAGCCTCTCGAACAACATCAAACTAGGGGTCTTTCCCCCTCTAGTGCTACTGTCTACTCTCCTATGTTGGGAAAACTTTGGGATTACTAATGAGATGTATTTGATATTTTGTTGCAAGGCGAGGAAGTTTTTGTCTTGCTTTTCACATGTTCCGTATCAGAGTCTGACAGTAATGCTGCTCTGAGCTGACTTCCTACCCTAACATGCCTGTTGTTCTCCAGCCCAGAGACACCCCATGCTATGAAGGACCCATCAAAGCTGTGCAGACATTGTCTGAGGAGCAAGGTCCAAGATGACCCACGGAAAATTAATATCTCAATTGTTTCCCAAAGGTCAGGCTCTTTCTGCCTTCCCAAAAACTAGTCTAGGGCTTGAGGAGAAAAGCGATGTGACCCTCCAGCCTTATCTGGGGAGCTAGTCTGTGTCCATCGCATTTTTCCAGAACATTCCCCTCACCTGCCCACTCTTCCTCTTGCTCTTCTCTTCTCTTTCTCTACGGACCGGTAATGAGATGATGGAGGTTAGCCCTCTGGATAGATAAATGGAAAAGGAGGAGCACAGATCCCACAGTCACCGTTACAAAAGGGGTTTTCAGAATTTTCTCGTCATTTAAGCTACTTACTGAAGTCCTCTTAAGTTATCATGACTGTGTTTCTTTGCTTTACACAAAGGCACTGGGTGGGGGGCACTGAGGCACCAGGAAGTCCAAAAGACAAAATGCTTGGAAGTCACAGACCTAAAGAAAATGCTGAGGCGTCAGTTCCAGAACTAGGCCTCCGGTGTTGGCAATTTTTGAGGACATTTTTTCAAAGGTATCTGACATTCCAGAACACGATTCCTACTCCTGGCCCAACAGGTACACAGGGTCTCCCACTTTGATGGTCCCTGTGCTTTCCAGAACAAAATACTGCCCGAAGAGAGGTGATTTTCCATACAGCTTCTGCTCAGAAGGGTCACACAGACGATAGCTGCAGTAGGAGAAAGATCGCCATGAGTCACAGCAGAACAGACAGGAGCAAGAGCTCAAACAGCCACGATTCCTTCCCGGCTAAGGTAAGTGTCCACCCCCTACAGGGCCACCAGGGGGCACCATTCCCACCAAAGTCTAACAGAGGAGCACCTCCTGGGGTTGTGCAGGAGCAGCCTGCCCGCGGGCACAAACTACAGAAGAGCCCCCCATGGCCAGACGCCCACATCTTTCCTCCATGGAATGTTCCCGTTTGCAGCATTAAGCGATAAGGTACTTGAGAGGTTTAGACACATGTTACCACCTTTCTTCTTCCTAGACATCCCTCCTCACTAGGACCAGCATCCCCACCAGTGCCCCAGGCTTGGAGCCCTGGAGGCCTGCAGTACCCCCTCCCCCTCACTCTCCACCACTTGTCCACAGTTACCAAGTCCCGCCCCGCATCACTGGATCTGCTCACGGTTTCTCCCACAGCCACCACCTTGCTTCCAGCACGCTCGGACCGCTGTGACAACTTCTGAACCAACCTCTTCTCCTCATTCTCCGCTCCCCGGCTCCCAGTTCACTGTTGGTGCTACACTATATGATGTTCTTAGTTTTGCTCTGGTCTTAATCATGCCTAAGCTCGGACACTTTCGATGGCTCCCCAGCGCCTACAGAATAACATTCCAGCCCTTCAGAAGGGCGTGCAAGGCTCGCAACCTGGCCCCAGCAGCTTTTTCAAACCTGTCACCCTCTGCCCCTTACCTGCACCTGTGCCGCTCTCCACTGGATCCCTCAAAGTCCTTTATCTTGCTTTGTACTTGGCTGGCTCCCGTGAGATGCCCCTCTTTCATTTCCCCGTGTGTTCAAATTCCACCTCGCCCTCCAGGTCCAACTCAAATGCCCCATTTCGTAGAAAGGAAGCCTGGGAGCCCCCAGCCAGGAGTAATTTTCCCATCCTCAGGGTGTCCCTGCCTAGCCCCGGAACACTCCCATGCCCTGTCCTGTAGTCAGGGCACACGTCTATCTGTCTGCAAGACAGAGGGTCCCTGGAGAGCAGCAGCTGTGACAAACTCTGTAGCACTGCTCACACCCAGCGCTGGGCCCCACACGTCCCCAGTGACCCACAACCATTCGTCAATGGATGAATGCGTGAGTGACTAAAAGCCTCTAGCAGAATTAGCACAAACATCTTAGTCCAGCAGAAAACACCAGCAGCCCCAGATACAGTGAGTGGAAACAACATGGCGACATTCATCCCCCCGCCCCACCCCCCAGCCCCCCACCCCCATCCAGGAGAAAGTTTTCCTTCAGTATCTCAAGGAAGCAAGCTCCAACATAATATCATCTTTCTATTTCAAATACTTTTATAGAAAGTCTTCATTTCATTCTACAATGCTTTAAAAGAAAAAAGAAAGAAAAGAAAAGAAAGCTTGTGTGGCATCCGGGTCCTTATTTTGTTCTTCGCATCAGAAACCGGAGCTGATCAAATCCAGAGGCTTCTTCCGGGACCCTTGGCTCCTCGCCAGGATGCAGGTGCCCTGCCAGGTCCCGGTCCCTAGTCCCTGTGGCCTCCCTGAGCCTGCTACAGAGCCTGGCCCACTGTGGCCTCTGCTACAAGGTCAGCTGAACAAACAAATGAGCAATGGGCAGGTGGGTGAGGGCCAGGAGCTGCTGCTCCAGGCTGCCCTGCCTTGCCTGAGTACTCCCCGCTACTCCCCCCTGCCCGCTGCCCCAAGCTCAGGGGTCAGGTCCCTGCAATGACCTTGGATCCCAGGAGCCCAGGTGCCTCCCTCACCTGCCTCTCCCATCAGCACACAACGCCAGCGACATTTTAGGGTCTGTGTCTGTCAGAGAGGATCGGAGTCCTGTAGCCTGATTCCCCAACCCCGATTATCGGGGGAGGGGGTCGGAGGGGGCCCTGAACGTTCTGAAGGACTCACACAGCAATCTCCTAATCCTTACAACAAGCCTAGGTGAGAATGTGATTTCTCTCCATTTCACAGCTGAGTCTCAGAGGAGGAACCAGCATGCCCCAGAGCACAGATCTCAGTGGTCAGGCGGGGTCTGGCCACTGCACCCACAGTCACCGGCTTCTGGCATATTTATATGCCTTATTCTGATCAGGGATGTGATTTATCCCTGGCCATCTCCGTACCACCTGGGGACACGCACAGACCTGAGAAGAACCGAGCAGGTTACTATTAGTTCTTGTACACGGGGGCAGGCCACTCGTGGGTTCCACCTGCCTGTTCCCATCAACCGCTCACAGAGACTCCCCCAGCAGGTGACTGAGAGGGGAGGGCCCCTTCCAGCCCAGCCCCTTAATCAGTGCAAAGTGGGGCGAACAAGTTGGTTTGTAGGAGCGCAGACTTGGTCACCTGGTTCGCAGGTGGCAGGCCATTTCTCGGCCTAGGAAGAGAAACTCTGGTAAGCTCTGTGGCTGCGGGGAGCCAGCTGTCTGCGAGGCCCGCCTTCCCCTACAAGCCTCCCCAGCCCTCGCCCCCTCTGCAGGCTCTCGGAAGGCCCCATTAACGAGATCATCGGTGACCCCTCGTGGGGATAAGCGGGTACTGCGAGGGCTCTGCGAATGCCCGTGCACACCAAGCTCTTTGTTCGACAGACTGCAAACAGTACTATCTTCCCAGGATCATCTACGATTTTGTTCAAAGATAATTAATAAATTACGAACTCATTTAAAATCTACTTTCTTAATGCATTTTCCTTTTCAATGAATAGGAAACATACAACTACTCTAATGAGCAGGAGGTCCCAGCCACTTCGCAGCACTTAAGCAGGGGTCTCCAGCCTGGAAGGGTGCGGTGGGAGCGGAAACACCACCTGTAAAGTCCTGCCCACCAGGAGGGCTGCTCGTCATCTACTCTGCCTGGTCTGCTTGGTTACTGGTCAAAGCCCGAGGCCATGACGACAAGCAGGGTCTCTCTCTGGTCACCGCTGGGTCCCCACCTGGGGGCACAGGCGACTTCTGAGGCCTCACAAACCCACTAACCTGATGGCCAGGTTAAGAATGAAACAGTCCTGTGAAGGCAGCTCAGGGGAGAGAAGCCCTAGAGGCTGAGCAGATCTGGGTTGGGTCTAATTTCAGAAAACAGAGAGAAGTGGCTTCCGGCTTCTCCCTCTCCCAGATGGTATCAAGTTCATAGACCAAGATTATCAACAACCAGAGCCTACGTGGGCATTGTATACAATATTTTATCACCTATTTTTAAAAATCGTATTTATTGCCTTATTCTGATCAGGCAGGAGAGGTATTATTAGCCCAGTGTTTACCATTAAGGAAACTGAAGCATCAAGAAGTTAAGCGGCTTGCTGAGGTCACCCAAGCAGCTGGTGACAGAGCCAGACGGGGCTGGGGGTGTCTGTCTCCTCCCCCAGGAGTACCACTACAGCTTTCTGTCTTTAGCTCAACACAGCCTAACACAAGGGGCCAATGTCCTTCATGTCAAAGTGTTCATGTGTCCAACAAAATTTTTGCATCTACAAAGCAAATGTGCTCTCCTCTTTCTATTAGGAACCAGAAGTTGGGGAAGCAGCAGTGACAGGCTCCCACCACTCCTAAGCCCTAGTGAACAGTGTGGAAATCACTCTCCCTTATTAAGGAAAAGACTGGGGGCGCCTGGGTGGCTCAGTCGGTTGAGCATACAACTCTTGGTTTCAGCTCAGGTCACGATCTCAGGGTCATGGGATTGAGTTCCGTGTCGGGCTCTGCACTCAGAGTGGGGTCTGCTTGGTATTCTCTCTCCCCGTCCTTCTCTCTCCCCCTCTCTAAAATAAAATAAACAAACAAAATCTTGAAAGACAAAAAGGAAGGAGGGAAGGAAGAAAGAAAAGAAGGAGGGAGGGAGGAAGGGAGGGAGGGGGAAAGGAAGGAAAGAAAGAATCATTCCATCTTCCTATTTTCCCAGGAGCCAGCAGGCCTCCCCGGTGCTGCCCACTGCGAGGACCTTACAGACAAAGGCTCCCTGGAGCCTCCCGCCTGCAGACGTTCAGCAATCGCAGACGTTATCACTTTTTCTCTCATTGCTCTGCCTTCCCGCACTTTGCCTGCAAGAGGCTTCAGTGGATAAGGCCGGCAGAGGTCTCTCTTGCGTTCTCGAAGCAGCACAGCCCCGTGGCACCTGAGGACACAGGAAAATGGAAAGCAGTGTGGCCCAGAAGCCCCTTGCCTGAGAGAGGAGAGGTGTTCTGCACACTGTTTGCTTCGCTTCCCATGATTTACGCCGCGAGACCCAGCCTTTCTCTTCCGGATTTAAGGCTACCCGTCCTGGGGAGAGCATAAATCACTACATCTATGGCCATTTCCACCTCCATAAGAGATCGGAGGAGACTCCTAGCCTGGCCGCCCTGTCTCCTGGGCTATTAGGAGCCAGTAAGGCGTGACTGCTGGACGGCGGAAAGCCTGCGGGTTATCGGGGTGCTGTGTTGGCTTCCAGTGACCCCCACCTGCTTGCCTTTGCTCTGTGTTTGGGTCCATGATCCTTGTTCTAGAAACACAGCTTCCCGATGGACGTGAGCACAAAAGATTCAGGGGATGGATCTGAACACCCGAGTGCTTTCAAGGGCGGGTTCCTGCAGAGACACTAAGTCCAGGGTAACCGAGTAGCATTTTGTGGGGAGAAACAGGTCAGGTCCCAAAACCACTCAGCGGGTTTGCACACAGAATCATCTAGATCTGTCCAACCCAGCTTATGTCGGAGGGAAGAACACCCTGGCCTGCGAGAGGGGATGCGGCTGGTGAGCTCGGGGTTCCTGACTCCCAGGACGGGGCTCCCCCCAACCTGCCCTTCTCCCTGCAGCTCCTCTGTGGCAACAGGAGGTAGGAAGGAGGTAGGAAGACCACATTCTGCTTTGTTCCAACGGTGAGTGAGAGCGTTTGAGGAATAGCTCGTCTGTCATCGCCGCTTCTCAAAACCCTGCTCCCCTGACTAATGTTTCAACACACATAGGAGTGTTACAATTCCCAGACACGCGAACAAGTTAGAAGAATTTTATAGCAAACACCCATTTACCAACCCCCTAGACTCTACCCATAATACTTTTTTTTGAAAGATTATTTATTTCTTTATTTATGTGACACAGAGAGAGAGAGAGAGAGAGAGAGAGCACAAGCAGGGGGAGAAGCAGGCTTCCTGCTGAGCCAGGAGCCTGATGTGGGGCTCAGTCCCAGCACCCTGGGAACATGGTCTGAGCTGAAGGCAGTCGCTTAACTGACTGAGCCACCCACGCACCCCACTACCCATAACACTTTACAACACTTCCTTGATCACATTTGTATCCATCCATCAATGCATTATAATTTTTTGGCATTTCCAAATAACTCACAGACATCCGTGGACTTCATCTCTAAACAGTTCAGCTGGTACATCATCCCCCTAGAGTTAAAATTTTCCATACTTTTTTTTTGATGGGGGAGATGTTCATGGAGTGAAATGTACAAAACTCAAATGTTTTATCATAATAAGTTCTTAATATGAAGTAATAAAATTAAGTGAAAACAAGAAAGTGAATTCACATTGTTTTGAGGATTGAGAAATAGACAGCACCCCTGAAAATGATGAGATTTGCCTTGGGCTGGTCTGCACTGTCTCTTGGAATGTTCTGGCAAATCCACGCTGAGTGGTAGGGACCCAAATGGAAAGCAGCCATTTGCTTTTCAGTTCAAGAATGCCTCTCCTTAAGCTCACCCAGCTTGTCTGACTTTACTCCTGACCAGCTTCTCTACCTTGTGGCCTGGCCCTCATGAAGGACACCTGTCTTCCCAGACTATGGGTGCTGGCTTCTAGGGGCAGGCCCAGAGCCTCATGCCTGGGGTGATTTGCTGGCTGGGACAACAGCCATCTACGCCAGGGCTTCAGCCGGCCCAGGAATGGCCAGATAGTAGCTTTTGGAACAGCAAGATTGGCAGAAAAAGATTGGTATTGGGCCAAAGAAGGCTACGAGGTTTGTGAGAGAGGGTGGGGGGCGTGGGGGTGAGTGCTGGGGCGGGGGCAGGCAGCAGGACTCACATTCCAGGGCAGTGAGTCTGGTCACACAAACCCCTCACTGTGCTCTCCCACGACGGTTTTGGAGCCAGATGGCACCAACTGCGTTCCTGTCCCAAGTCTTCTGGGGCTTTGCCTGAAGCAGCCGCCACCGCGCTCTATGCCTTCCCCTCCCCCTCTCTTAGAGCTTCCGGGGACACAGGTCAGGGTCAAAGCGGAGGGGCTCGGGAGCTGCAGAGATGAGACCTGACAGCACCCCTCCAGCCCCACAGTGGGTAGATACCACCACTGCAGCGCTCAGGTCCTGAACTGACATTTTAGCAAAAGTAACACAGTTGACTGCAGAAAGTCTAAAGACTACGTATAAGAATATACAGATTTGCCCATCATTCCATTACCACAAGAGCATCTCCATTAACATTTTGGTTTATAAACTGTCAGACCTATATCACTCATGTGCATTCGTATATTTTAAAAAATAAAATCAGGGGGTGCCTGGGGGCTCAGTCAGTTGAGCATCTGACTCTTGGTTTAGGCTCAGGTCATGATCTCAGGGTCATGGGATCGAGACCTAAGTCCAGCCCCGTGCTAGGCGTGGAGCCTGCTTGAGATTCTCTCTCCCTCTCCTTTTGCCCTGTCCTCTGCTCGCTCGCTCTCTCTCAAATAAATAAGTAAATCTTTAATAAAAAAAAAAACTAAAAAGCAAAATCAAATTAAAAAAATACTATATATGCTATTTTGTAATCAGCTTTTAAAAATCCAAGTTACTGGGACGCCTGGGAGGCTCAGTCAGTTAAGCAGCTGCCTTCAGCTCAGGTCATGATCCCAGCATCCTGGATCGAGTCCTTGCTCAGCAGGGAGCCTGCTTCTCACTCTGCCTCTGCCTGCCACTCTGCCTGCCTGTGCCCTCTCCTTTCTCTCTGACAAATAAATAATTAAAACCCTTTAAAAAATAAATAAATAAAATAAAATAAAAATCCACATTACTTTAACTATCTTTCTATGCAATCTAAACTTGTTCTCTGTAATTGTATCTTTCACTTAAAATTTCTTTTATTTTTTATTATGAGTATTTTAGAGTAAACATAAAAGTAGAAATGCTGCAATGAATCCTCCTGTAATTATCGCCCAGATTCTATTAATCAAGGTTTGACATATTTTTCCACGTGACCTTTGTTTGTTGTTGTTGTTAGAATAATATACAGCACATCCCAGACACTTCCCTACTTATTTCAACACCCCTCCCCAAAATATATGGGGGAAATTCTTCCATCACAATGCCATTATCACACCCAACAGGTTTTTAGTATCATCTAATACTCACTTCATAATATAATTTGCCAAAATATAAACAATGCATTTCTTAATGGGTTCGCTTGAATTGTGAACTCGAAATGAGAAATAAAATGATCTGTGCCAGCAGGCCCTCTAGGAACCACAGCCCCCAGGAATACTGCCCAAGTTACCCAGTCACTGGGACCCCCTGCAGCTTGAAGACTGCATGTTGGTGGGATTTTCACAGCTTCTAGAGAGATCATGCTGCCTACTCCTACCTTTTCAGGGTCTCCAGCGGCTCCTTCCTGCTCATGACGCCGGTGTCTGGGTCCACCGTCGTTAAAATGCACCTGGACACACACACGCACACATAACATCATACAAGGGGCAGAGAGGACTAACCTTGGCCCGCCCCTCCCTCTCCTGGCCAGGGCTGGAGGAGCTTTACCTGGAACAAGCCATTATCCTTTTCATTATCACCTCACCAATAAGCAGCTCATCCCACGAATCCTAGGGGACAAAGCACAAAATTCCTTTGAGCCCTTCTGAGACCTCGCCCTGACCATGTAGGGACTTCACATGACATGCCGCCCAATGGAGTCACGTACACCCAAGATGGCAGACGTTTATGTCAACCCTGAGAAGCCACACACCCTCCTGTCCCCTCTCAGCCTGTGACATGTCTGTTCATCCTCCTGACGTGAAAGGCTCTCTCTGCTCCCACTGGTCACACTGTGATGGAAACGTCTCCCACCCCCGACAGATGCCACTGGGCTCGAGGAGGTGGGAATGGAAGGCTTGGGGCCCCCAGAGGGCATGGGAGACAGAGAGAAAGGGCTTGGAGGGGGATCGCCCTAACCTGTTCTTGTCCTCCTCCTCTGGGGATTTAGACCCTGAGGGCACTGGTAGGTTTACCTTGCATCTCCCCTGGCAGAGGTTTTATGGAAAAGATAGGATTTGAATAGAACCTTCCAGAACAGAGATTTTGGAAGGCACAAAAGAAGGGTCAGGAGACTCAGGGAACGATTAGAAGGAAGACACTGAGGAGACAAAGGACATCTGATCATAGCCCTGAACTTCTTACCCTGGCAGAGAGTCGCAGGCTGCCTGAAGACAAAAATTCCTAAACTAAAACCAACCTGCTCAGGCCTTTATTGGTCACAAGCCAGAAAGAGACTTGCAGACTCAGAATTTTAACTCTAAGAGTGTGTATCATTCTTGCTATTATGTATTACAGTTTTTATTTTTTTTAAGATTTTATTTATTTATTTGTCAGAGAGAGAGAGAGGGAGAGAGAGCGAGCACAGGCAGACAGAATGGCAGGCAGAGGCAGAGGGAGAAGCAGGCTCCCTGATGAGCAAGGAGCCCGATGTGGGACTCGATCCCAGGACACTGGGATCATGACCTGAGCCGAAGGCAGCTGCTTAACCAACTGAGCCACCCAGGCGTCCCCAGTTTTTATTTTTTTTAAGATTTTATTTATTTATTTGACAGAGATCACAAGTAGGCAGAGAGGCAGGCAGAGAGAGAGGAGGAAGCAGGCCCCCTGCTGAGCAGAGAGCCCGATGCGGGGCTTGATCCCAGGACCCCGGGCCCCGGGGATCATGACCCGAGCCAAAGGTAGAGGCTTTAACCCACTGAGCCACCCAGGGGCCCCCTATGTATTACAGTTTTTAATCATAAAGTGGGGCTTTGAACTGTTGGTGTCACAAGGGTCCAAAAAAACCGCACCCGAACTGGAGCAACCCCAGCCTGTTCTGTGTGTGTCTGTCCACCAGGGGGCACTGTGGTTATTAAAAAACATAAAAGATCCAAAAAGAGAAATGTGGGTTCATTTATTACCCATCAAAGAAGTATTTCCTGAGCCCCTTTCAGGTACACCAGAAATGGCTGAGGGCTGAGTCACTGATAAATAAGGTTAAAAAAAAAAAAAGTCCCCCATAAAGAAAGCCAGAGATGTAAATGGGTCTAAGGCCTGAGCCTTGGGATGGTTGGAGCCTGAGCAGACCGTTGGGGGCCAGCATGTCCCATCCAGTCTGGGTCAGTCACACCCCAGGGTCACCTACCACCCTGCACTCACCATCCTCCTGGCCTGCTCACAATCTGTTCACCTGGGACTGTGATCTCCTTGGAAGAAGCAGCGTGTTTCTTCAACCCTGTTTTTCCACGTGTCTATATACAGTGCACCGGACACGGGGGTGCCAGCTCACAGTGTGATGACGGACACACTAGGACAAAATGAGCTCAGCCAGTGTCATGTTAACATCTGACTTAAACTGCGAAATGTTCCCTGTGAGGGAGCGCTCAGAGTTGGAAGGAAATGAAGGCTTCCAGAACAAGATTCAGTTCAAACGAATCCAAACCAGAGGTCCTACTCTGGGCCATCTCCTCCGCACTCAGTTTCATCGACAACTGACCATCTCGGAACTCTGGGGTAGAAAACATCATCAACAAGACCCAGGGCTCAGGGATCGCAGGGGGGAAAGAAGCTTAAGTCGGTCATAGCTCGGGGAACGCCTGAGCCAGGCCCCTTCGCTCTGACTGCTGGACAGAAACCCTCCCCCACCTCTCTGTGACACTCTCTGTGCCTATGAGCTTTTCCGCAGATTTCTGACCTTGATTCTGACAGCAGCCCTCAGGGGACGGGCCAGCTGAAATCATCAGCATTTAACACGTGCAGGAAGCAGAGGCCTCAGCGGTACAAGGACCTGTCCAGGGTCACACCGCCACTTAGTGAAGCAGGTGGATTCACATCTGGTGCCCCAACCTCATGCATACCCCCTGCAATGCTCAGAGTTCCTTTGGCCCCTGGGTTCAGTCTGGGTTCAAGACCCAGCTCCTCCACTTCTTGCCATGGGGTAGCCTGGGGTGAGCCAGCTCACCTCCCCGGGCCTCTCCTCCCCACGCCCCCTAATAAAACGAGAATGATGACTTCAACTCCCTGGGCTGCAAAGCACAGTGTGAGCATTAAATGGAAACCCTCCCTGCTCCCTTCTCTTCCCCGAGAAGGAAAACCCTCCAGAGAAACTGCTTTACTGGCCACAGCTGGGGCGAGATGAGTATCAATGAGATGGTCAAAGGCAGCCCACACTGATTTTTCCCTCTTGCTGAGCCCGGCTGAACTGTGCTGGACGTGAGCAAGGGCCGACGAGCTCCCTCGTCACAGCGGACCACGGAGAGACAGCCCAGTCCCGGCTCCCGGGGGGAGAGCGCGTGTCCGGCCTCACACTAGGAGCTGACCTGCCATCTTTGGAAGACTTGATGTGCTCGGAGCGCTTTACATAAGGACGGGGTCTGGGGGGCCCTCCAATGCCTGACACAGCATTTATACTTTTCATAAGTTACCCTAGTCAAATTAGTCCTTTTTTTTTTTTAAGGTTTTATTTATTTATTTGACACAGAGAGAAAGATCACAAGTAGGCAGAGAGGCAGACAGAGAGAGGAGGAAGCAGGCTCCCCACTGAGCACAGAGCCCGATGCGGGACTCGATCCCAGGATCCTGAGATCATGACGTGAGCTGAAGGCATCATTGAGCCATCCAGGCACCCCCAAATTGGTCCTTTAATAAACCTGCAAGGTAATCCTGGGCAGAAAGGATCACCTCATTCTCCATGCAGTTAAAGGAGCCTTAGAGGGAGCGCATAGGGTCCTACAGAGGCCAGCGAGGAAGCTGATGGCCCACCTCAAAGCCTCGGGTTTGCGTGTGAGCCTCAAATTCCTAGACTGCTTCTTTGAGCAGCACACGTAGCTGCCTCCTCACAACATGACAGAAAGCCAGAATCCGTTCCCTTGAGTAGAAGGGATTAGAACTCAGTCACGTGGATTCGGTTCTGCCCCCTTCCCGTCCCCTCCGCTTTCCATCTAGAAACATGCACCATCCGAACTCTAGAATTCCCATCTGAGAACTAGTGCCTGTCGAGTACCCACAGATGGGTGGTCGTCACTCCCCAAACCCCCAGGCCACCAACCTCTGCCTTCATGGCTGACGAGGGAGAGAACCCAACGAAATGTCCAAAGACAACGACAAAGGTAAGTCTGCCACCAGAATCATGTCACGTGGTGGGAACCCTCCACGCTAAGCCACAGCATAGACATGCGAGCGCAGGTCAACGGTGACACTGGAAGAATTTTAGGGCAGCGCCATCCAGCCTGGGGGCTCTGCTCCCACCCCCCCACCCCCGCAGCAGCCATACTGTAAATGCGGGTCTTCTCCTGGGGCCATCGACTGACAGGAAAGCCAGCTTCGACAAGACATGAACACACCTGCTTCTGATCCATGGCCCACACACGTCATGTATTTTACACCACATAAAGCTGTAGGAAAACTACTCTACCTACCGGGAACTGTCATTAGAGGTCTCAGACCCAGAACAGCCCCCTGACACCAGCATGTCATTTGTACATTTGTATTTCCGCCCTCCCTGCGGAAGTCTGTCCTGATCAGATGCTCCAGAAATCAAAACTCTGAATTGTCTAGCATACAACCAATAATTAATGAATTCTTCAATAATCAAATGCAACGTTAGAGACTCCTATACCCTAAAAAAAAAAAGTTAAATCCAAGGAGAGGGACAAGGAAGGTATCCTGTTACCTCGGCATAGACACCACAGCCTGAAATTACGATATTGGGCCTGAAGTTCATCACTTTAACTTTCTTCTCCAGCCTGGAGTTGAGATCTGCCAACGATGCCTCAGACAGGATCAAGAATGGGCTGGCATCGGAGTACGCAATCTGGTAAGGAAATAGAAATGGTTAGAATGTGGCACACAGAGGTCACATGTGTCCCATGTGCCTAGTTCCTGGAACCCTCTCCTCCCCAGCTCCCCCACCCCGTGTGCACACGCACATCTGCGTGTGCACGCACATGATATTTCTACGTATTTCTTCAGTTCTTTCTGTAGAAAAGTCACAGTGGTTCAGAACTCTTAAGCAGCCTTACAGATAACAGGAATTACAGGATGGAATGAAGAGAACGTGGCCTCGGGATCAAGAGTTGCCACGGGCCAAGTGCCTTTAAGGAAGTCACTCCACCTTTCCAAGCCTCAACTTCCCCAATGTTGATGAGTTTGATGACCTCAACACGGTTGAAAAAAAAAATTAATTGATTCCCTGGATACCTATTTTTTATGCAACCTGCAAATCAACATCAAGTCCATTTTCTATTTATATAATTTTTTTAACAGCCATAATAATTGTGCTACCGTAGCATCGGGCTACCAACCCTCCTTTTGATGAATCCTCGCAGCCTTATTCCTGAAAGGGCCAACCTGGTCACTTTAAGCCTGTGGATCTCCACACCCTCATACGCATTTGCCCAACAGTGATCGGACCGTTGCAATCACACGGTAAAAAGGCTGGACTCCACATACAACTACAGAAACAGAGTGGAAAAGATCCGGATATGGAACAGTTTTGAAACCCTGCTGGCACTGGGATGCTTCCATAGATAGGAAGGGAGATGGCCATTGGAAAAATGCAAGAGTCCCCCAAATCAAGAAACACAGATGAAGCTTCCAAAGGAAGGGCTTTGTTTTGCCTGTCGTTTATAATCTCCAGCCACGGCTCGGGCCAAGCTTGTGGCGGGGGGTGGGGGGGGGGGCCTGCCTGGCAAACCAACAGAGCAGAGCTCAGCAGACAGGCTGCCCCTCCTGATGGGCTCTGCACCCCCGAGGAAGCTGCCTTCCACAGAACACAACAAGGGCCAAAGCCAAGGGATGCTCCTCTGACCTGGTCGGTGGGCCGGAACGCGTCCAATATTTGGTGAGAATTTCTCGGTCGCAGGTGAGGCTCGAAGTGCACCAGGCGGTAGGGCTGCGTCTTCAAGAAGCCCGTAATCCACTGGGCCGCAGCCTCCCCACAGTCCCTACCCTCGATCTCCAGGCCGTGCACTCTGCAGGGGGGACGGGGGGACAGGAGCAGAGAACGGCCATGGGTTTGAAAATCTGGATACCTAGCGTGTCCTACACACATCCGAAAAGCCGGGATGTCACTGTGACGCCTTACTTACCAGGAAACATGATTTTAGCCTGGCCCTGCCTCCAAACCCCTGTGTGAGGCTCAGTGAAGTCCGTTTCAAGCTTTGCTTTCCCCAGTTTCATAACAGAGTGATGCATACCTGTGCCTCCCTATTTGTAAGGCATGCACGGGAAAATAAAATAAGGTCATAGGTTTGAAAAGATATGGTGTTCTCCGGAAGAAAACGAAAGTGTCAGTATAAAGTAAACTTGTCATTAAAGCAAAAGCTGGCTCCCCCAGCTGGAGAGCAACCAAAAATCTCTACTAACAGGCCCAGCTAAACGTTACCAGTTTGAAGATAATGAAACTAGAGGCAGCCATGTATGCGAAATGTCCTATAAAATCTAAAACATTATAGACAACAATAATAATCCAATTTGATTTGACTGCTAGCAATCAGCATACCATTGAAGTCTACCCCTCCCCCACCCCTGTCCCAGCCCCAGACATCCAGGATGCGGGACTGCGTGGGAGCTATAGGATCAATACTACTGTGGGTATTCAAGGTAAGACTGGGACTTGGGTACAACAGGAAAGAAGGGTGAATTGCACAGAGAGAATGTGATTTCTGTTCAGTTTCATGATAGCACGGCTTTAACTTCTAGCAACACATGATATTCATCTCTTTTTAAAAAGAAAGACCTCAGGGGGCGCCTGGGTGGCTCAGTGGGTTAAAGCCTCTGCCTTCGGCTCGGGTCATGGTCCCGGGGTCCTGGGATCGAGCCCCGCATCGGGCTCTCTGCTCAGCGGGGAGCCTGCCTCCTCCTCTCTCTCTCTGCCTGCATCTCTGCCTACTTGTGATCTCTGTCAAATGAATAAATAAAATCTTAAAAAAAAAAAAAAAAAAAGAAAGAAAGACCTCAGGTCCAGAGACCTCTCTGTAGGCAATATTTCTAGCTAGAATTGGGTAACATTCCATTTATAGCATATTTATGATTTCAATTACCTTCTCTACCTGGCAAATTGTTTAGGTACCCATATAACGTTTCCTTATTTTTTTTTTTTTTTAAGTAGGCTCCATGCCCAGAGCAGAATGTGGGGCTTGAACTCACAACCCTGAGATCAAGACCTGAGCTGATATTAAGAGTCGGACACTTAACTGAGTGAGCCACCCAGGAACTTCCCAGGTTTCCTTTTTAAATAAATGCCTTTAAGATTGTCCTTTCTGGGGGCGCCTGGATGGCTCAGTGGGTTAAGCCTCTGCCTTCAGCTTAGGTCATGATCCCAGGATCCTGGGATCGAGCCCCGCATCGGGCTGTCTGCTCAGTGGGAAGCCTGACTACCCCCCCCTCTCTCTGCCTGCCTCTCTGCCTACTTGTGATTTCTGTCTGTCAAATAAATAAATAAAACCTTTAAAAAAAATTGTCCTTTCTGTAAGATGACAGAAAGTAGAGGCAAAATCACCACAAAACAAAATAAAAATCCATTTCAAGCAGCAGAAGCAGCAAAAAGAATAAAGAAAAAAGTATCTCATGCTGAACCCACGCTGCTCCAAAACAGTAAAATTTTACACATCTTAATTTTGAAATAAAAAAATAAAGGATCCTTCCTTTAGGGGTCTGTCCACAGAACAGGAAATTATGCCCAGCCTATATTTTAGGGTAAAATTAGTAGAAATACAGCAACTTCGTTCTTCATCAGTCTCATTTAAAATAGGAACATGTTTCTCAGCTGTCTATGGCACCATTCATTAGAGAAAAAGGAAGAAAATCTAAATTCACCTCTTCACCAAATTAGTTCCTTTCATCAAGTCCTACAAATCACGGATTCCTGTTCAGCAGGGAAGGGAAAAGCACTTTCATCCTCATGACATCAAATTAACTAATTAACTGTACTATAAGTAAATGAACTCAACATTAAAAAAAAAAAAAACCTTTAGGGGCGCCTGGGTGGCTCGGTGGGTTGGGGCCTCTGCCTTCGGCTCAGGTGGTGTTCTCAGGGTCCTGGGATCGAGCCCCGCATCAGGCTCTCTGCCCCACAGGGAGCCTGCTTCCTCCTGCCTCTCTGCCTAGTTGTGATTTCTCTCTGTCAAATAAACAAAATATTAAAAAAAAAAAAAAAAAAAACTTTTAATCTGGGATTAGAATTTTAAATCATGTTCAGAACAGCAAATATATACAAGGCAATAATCTAATTTCTATGAAGAAATAACATGTGTCCATCTGAGAAGAGAAACCCACGGCTAATGAACAGGTACAGAGCTGAAGACCATTTGCAGAGAATAAGAAGCCCCAAGCAGAGAAGGAAAAAAGGAGGAGGGGGCTGTTCCCAGGATTTAGGAGACAGGCACCACTCCGTGGGGAGGGGGCTCAGCCTGGGACAGCCACAGGCACAATAAGCACCACCTGCAGAATTGAAGGAACCAGGGGTTTAGGACCTGCCCGCATGATTACCTGCCAGAATCTACTAAAATCTTCCTTTTTTTTTTTTTTAAAGATCTTATTTATTTATTTGACAGACAGAGATCACAGTAGGCAGAGAGAGGGAGGCAGGCTCCCTGCTGAGCAGAGAGCCCGATGTGGGACTCGATCCCAGGACCCTGAGATCATGACCTGATATGAAGGCAGCGGCTTTAACCCACTGAGCCGAAGGCAGAGGCTTTAACCCACTGAGCCACCCAGGTGTCCCTACTAAAACCTTTCTAAATTTAATATCCTAATGCCTGTTGTTCCCCAGAATTCCAGAATGTGCTTTAGAAAAGCTGATTCAAGTTATGCTGATAGTCTATCTTACGCCTATTAAATCCAGTATTAGTGCATGAGAGGCACGCTTCTTTTTTTTTTTTTTTTTTAAGATTCTATTTATTTATTCGTCAGAGAGAGAAAGAACGAGAGAGAAAGCACACAAGCAGGGGGAGCAGCAGGCAGAGGGAGAAGCAGACTCCCCGCTGAGCAGGAAGCCCGATGTGGGACTCCATCCTAGGACCCGGGATCACAACCTGAGCCTTAAAGGCAGACACTTAACCCACTGATCCCCCAGGCGCCCCGAGATACACATTTCTTATAGAATTAAAAGCCTTTGATAGTTCACTACTGAAGATGTATGTAAATGAACTCACTACATATCCTGTAAAGAAACATATATTATAGATATATTAATATATTACAGATATATAATATATAATATATTACAGATAATATATTAATATATATAATAAATATATTAATATTTAGGAACTCCAAAACATTTGCCACTCCCTTCCTAACTCAGATTTGGAAGGTTCCCAGTCTCCCCAGGCATAACAGGCCAAGTCTGACGGCGATACGCAGGTCTCATCTCACCTCTTCCGGACATCGTCTGCTGTCACTCCCACCCCATCCCTGTCCTTCATCCTCTGGTGGAGTGACTTTCTCTACGCCTTCCTTACCTGCACTTGTACATCGCATTCGTGGCCGGTGTCTTGAGAGGCAACTGCAAGTCCTGCGTGTAGGCTGCACTGAGGGTCAGGGCATCACCCTCACAAGTCAGGGAAATCAGGACCAGCCGAGGCTCCTGCCGGGCCGTCACCATGTTCCCCTTCTCGTTGATCACCAGCCAAAACCTGCCGTGTTCAAAACACAAGATCTGGGGCGCCTGGGTGGCTCAGTGGGTTAAAGCCTCTGCCTTCGGCTCAGGTCATGATCCCAGGGTCCTGGGATCGAGCCCCACATCGGGCTCTCTGCTCAATGGAGAGCCTGCTTCCTCCTCTCTCTCTCTGTCTGCCTCTCCGCTTACTTGTGATATCTCTCTCTCTGTCAAATAAATAAAATAAAATCTTAAAAAAACAAACAAACAAAAAAAACACAAGATCTGCACGTGGGAGCTTCAGGCATACTCTGTCCTCTTGGATTTCCTCCCTGTCAGCCTAGTGTGAGATTCTGTGTGTCTGTGTGTGTGTATCTGTGTGTCCATCCTAAACATCAACTCAGCAGCACAGCACGACTGAGTCTGTCGGTTAATTTCAAAGGGTTTAGGAACCGGTCAAGCATCCGATATCTCTAAGATCTTCAGAACATTCTGAGCTCCAGGATGGCACAGAAATCAAAGATGTTATCATATTTTCATTTCAACTGCCAAAAATTCTGACCCGTTTCATTAAACATGCCCCAAAGAGATGACAACAAACTATTTCCCAGAGAGAGGCTAACGGCACCAGGAGGTACCGTGCCTGGCACACACTAGGCCCCAGGCTCCAGCAGCGCCTAACAGGACGGTTGCTCTCTTGTTCTCAGAGCATGGAGTCCGGCAGGGGGGCGCATAAGACACCACTTACACCTTGGCAAATCCACCCCTACCTTCTTAAAAAAATTAATGTTTCAGTATTCAGGGAGGTGAATTCTGCAGTTTGCTCCAAGGTTTATTGATACCATGGACAAAATTTTTTCTGGCACAAAACTCCTGATCTAGAGGTACCTGCCAGAAAAAAGATAAAAGAAGAAGAGCAATTAGAAACTGTTCTGGGGTGGGCGGTGGGGAGTCCTTTGTACAGGTCACTCCTCAGCTGCACGTATGGGAGCTAAACATACGGACACGCTGATAATTTCAGTTCACGCTGGATCAAGCGATCACAGTTACAAAAGTCCGCTTGTGCCTGCGGAATCCATAAACAGAACTTGCTAGTAAATAGGGGAGGTTGTTAAGAGCTTCCTTGCATCACTTTAGTGGGTCATCATGGTTGAGATCCTTCAGCTACACGAGAAAACAAGGTGAGTGGGAGCCCTTTCCTGAACTGCCCATTTACGGGTCCTCATCCTGGACCCAGCTGGAGTTCTGCCCTGTTCCAATCCTTCGTACCAGCACATGAATATTCTTCTGATGTCATAATTCTTCCAGGTAACGATGGCAGCCTGATCTTTCCTTTCTTTTTACTATTTTGAAGTAATCTCTATGCCCAACGGGGGGGCCTGAACTCACAACCCCAAGATCAAGGGCCTGAGGCTCCTCCCACGGAGCCAGCCGGGCATCCTGCAATCTGATCTTTCCCAACCACCAATCTAATCGTGTCACCCCCTCGTGAAAAGTCCCTTCATGGCTCCCGCTTTCAGGATAAAACCCGAACTCTTTGGCCAGGCAAGCAAGGCCCTATGTAACCCAGCTGCCCCCTCAGCCATTCACAACTCGCTGTGCCCTCACGCAGGCCAGCCTTTTCCTTTTTTTTTTATTGTAAAGTATATATAACATAAAATGCCCGGCATGCTCTTGGGTATGTCCAAAAGGATTGAAAACAGGGCCTCACACCGATCCTTGCACACTGATGTTCACAGCAGCATTACCCACAACATTGAAACGTTGAAACAACCCAAGACAGAAAATGGGTATTTTTTTTAATGTGTTTTTAACCATTTTAGGTGCACAATTCTGGGGCATTAAGCACCTTCACAATGTTATGCAACCATCACCATCAATTTCAAAAACTTTTCATCATCCCAAATAGAAACTTTAACCCCATTAAGCAATAACTCCCCATTCCCCCCTCCCCCTGAGCCCCTAGTAAACTCGAATCCACTTCCTGTCTCTGGGAATTTGCCCACTTCAGCTATTTCATATAATTAGGATCATGCATCTGTCCTTTTGTGTTTGGTTTATTTCACTTAACATAATGTTTTCAAGATTTATCTACGCTGGGGGCACGTGGGTGACTCAGTGCCTTAAGCCTCTGCCTTCAGCTCAGGTCATGATCTCAGGGTCCTAGGATCAAGCCCCACCTCTGGCTCTCTGCTCAGCGGGGAGCCTGCTTCCCCCTCTCTGCCTGCTTCTCTGCCTACTTGTGATTTCTCTGTCAAATAAGTAAATAAAATCTTTAAAAAAAAAAAAAAGATTTATCTACGTTGTAGAGTATATCAGAACTCCATTCCTTTCTGTGGCCAAACAATATTCCATTGTGCAGAGATGTTGTTTATCCACTCATCTGCGGGTGGGTATTTGGGTTGATTCCACCTTTTGGCCACGTGGTGTAGACATATCTGCCCGGTTTCAATTCCTTCCGATAATCCTCTAAAAACTCACTCACCTTTCCCCCAGCATACTTTCCCTCCAAATCCGGGTCTTTACCCAGCTTCCTCGGTGTCTCTCTCTCTAGAATGTTCCTCTCCCAATTTACTTGCCTGGAAAGTTCATAATTATTTGAAAATTCGTAAATTTTCAGTTCAAGTGACGAAGTCATTCCTGCCCACCGCAGGCGGTTTCTGGCGCTCCCTGGCACTTGTCACACTGAGTACAGTAAGCCTTTGTTGACCTCTCCCGATCATACTTGGTGGTAGTGGGTGGACAAAAATAGGGTCGGCCACAATGCAGGCTCTGATTGTTACTTATTAATATATGAGCTCAGTAACTATTCCCAGTCCATACAGTAAAATAATGCCCTTTGCCTCTGGGGCCTACAAAACGAATTCAATAAATTCGACCATCTTGCAGAGTTGGGGAGCTCCGTACAAACCATGAAATATCTAGGACTCTTGGCTTCCTTCCTGTAGCAAAGCCGCAGAGCTCACCCTTCACTGATGCTGTGAGTTGCCTCTGTCAGGGGGGCCGCAAGGCGGGAAGGCTACAGCCCCGCTCCGCTCTGCGCTCCCTGCAGGAGCTGGGAGGGCTGGGCTGGGAGGACCGCGCTTGAAGCGCAGCCTCACAACGAGGCTCGCGGCTGGCCTGACGCCCAGCCCAGAGGAGAAGAAAGCCGCTCGTTCGGGGCCTCTGCAGCCTTCCCTGCACCCCGAGGCTTCACGCAGATCGTGAGCACCCACACAGGGCTTTACTAACAGGACCTCACAAAGCACCCGCGTGCTCAAGAGAAGGAGAGTCCTGGTTCCCCGGCTCGGGGGGCGCGGGAGCTCGGTTTCTTCATCACTGCAGGAGGCCTTGCGAGAATTCGGGAAAAGGCAGCGCAACAGCACTTCTAAAGCTTAAACTGCAACAGCTGTCATCTGGACTATGCGCCCCACCTGGGTGCGCTGCAGGAGGGCTGGGCTTCGCGGCCCCAAGTCTCCCCAAGTTCTCCAGAGACAATGAATAAAACTAATGTGGCGGGACCAATCCCTGGACGCTCGTCGCCTCCGCTAGACGGAGCTGAAGTCCGCTTGCACACTGGCAGCCACCTGGGCGCCAAAACCAGTCCCGGGCAGGAGCGCAGAAGGAAAAGCGCAGGGGGGAGGCGGAGAGACAGCTGTCTCCGTGAACTAGGTCGGGACACAGAGGCCCAGGGTCCCGGGCTGCCGGGGTCCGCTGTCGGGAGGTAGTGCCCCTCGCTCTTTGTCCTTGCCCCATTGTAAGGGAAGGAAGGACCTGCCGGCAGACTCTGCAGACCACCCGCTCCCGCCCGTGGCGGAAGCCCACCCCGCGCAGCCCCGGCCCAGCCTTACCTGTCCCGAAGGTGGCCGCAGCGCAGCCCCAAGGCCGTGCACTCCGCCGCGCTCACCGGCACCCCCTTGCACGACTTGACCGGGTAGATCCAGAGCTGCGCCACGGTGCCCACCTGCTGCAGCCGCCGGCGCCGCCTGCAGCGCCCGCGGCGCCAGGCGACCGTCCCCAGCGCCACGGCGGCCAGTCCCAGCGCGGCCACCCCGAGCCAGGCGGGCCGGGACGGCGCAGGGAGGCCGAGGCGGCCCAGAGCCGACGAACCCGCGGCGCCCATGGCCGAGCGGGCGGGAGCGCGGGCGGTGGCAGCAGCTCCGGCGGGGCCCTCCGCGGACGCCCAGCGGTCACCCGGTCAGAGCGCGGCCGCCGCTGGGGCTGGGAGGGAGGCGCGGCCCTTGGCCCGGAGCCGAAAGGGCAGGCCGCTCCCGAACCCCTTCCGGGCGCTCCGGGTACCGCGGCCTTCGCCTGAGGAGTGGCCCCTGGGGCGCCGGCGGTGGGAGGTGGTGGCTCCGCTTCGGCGGGTGCTCGGCCCGCAGCCTCTTCCGCCTTCCGCGGCCCGCGTGGCCCTCCCCCACGATCGCGGCAAGCGACCACTTTCTTTAGGTGTTGGTGCGGTTTTACGAAACGTCAAGTGGTCCGAGATACCAAACTTGCGGGACAAAGCGTGATTTCTAAGTCAGAAATCCGGCGGCCTGGGGGTCCCTGCCGTGCGGAGAATGGGGCGCCAATGGGCACAACGCGGCCGGCACGGAGCGTCCCGCTGCCCTCCGCCGCCCTCCCACCCGCCACGCGGGACCAGGGAGCTTGCGGGAGTGGGAATCCGGGCGGACGGACGCAGCCGCCCAGGGCCAGCGAACCGAGCCTGGAGGGGAGCCAGCGGCCGCCGGGGCTCCAGGGTCTGAGCAGCACTGAGCGGCGAAAAGCGCCCTCTGCTGGGTTTGGGGCATAGGGCGCGCCCGGCCGCCTTCCCCGCACTCGGGATTTGGGAGGTGGGTCCTGGCCCCAAGTCCCGAGGTTTCTTCAGGGCAGAAGGGAACGTCCACCAAAGCGGCAGGCACTGACCTCAGTCACGTGTCTCTTTCAATCGGGTCATGTTTTAAAGAACAGGGTCAACCATCAGGATCAGGGTGGTTTAAGAGTCTTGGGCTCCGGTTTCATGGGCCAGACTTAAAAAATTACTCGGACACTTGTTAAAATGTAAGGAAGACTTCTCTTGAGACTACTGCTCATCTAAGATTAGGAGCAAGACGAGGATGTCCACCCTCTCACTTTACTCGACAGGGTGCTGGAAGCCCTAGCAGAGCAATTAGGAAAGAAAAAAAATAAAAGGCATCCAAATCAGAAAGGAAGAAGGAAATCTCTGTGTTGCAGATAACATGATCATATATTTGGAAAACCCAAAAGATACCACCAAAAACTATTAGAATAACTGAAGTCAGTAAAAAAAATATACAAAAATCAGTTGCATTTCTATACAGAACAACAAACCATCAGAAGGGGAAATTAAGAAAAATAATCCCATATATATAAAAAAGAAGAAAATATCTGGGAATAAATTCAACCAAGGAGATGATGGATCTGTACACTGAAAATTAGAAGATATTAATCAAAGGAATTAAAGAACACAGAAATAAATGCAAAATTGTTCCGTGCTCATGGATTGGAAGAATTAATATTGTTAAAATAGCCACAGAACACAAAGAAAGCTACAGAGTCAATGCAATTTCTATCAAAATTCCAATGGCATTTTTCAAAGAAATAGGAAAAAACAATCTTAGGTTATCCGGCTGGCTTAGTTGGTGGAACGTGTGTGACTCTTGATCTTGGAGCTGTGAGTTCAAGCCCATGTTGGGTGTGGAGATCACTTAAAAATAAAATCTTTAAAAATTAAAAAAAAGGAAGAAAAAATTTCCTAAAATTTGTATGGAACCGTGAATAGTGTTGGGGAGGATGTGGAGAAAAGGGAACCCTTGTACACTGTTGGTGGGAATGTAAATTGGTGCAGCCACTATGGAAAACAGTATGGAGGTTCCTCAAAAATTTAAAAACAGCGCCTGGGTGGCTCAGTGGGTTAAGCCGCTGCCTTCAGCTCAGGTCATGATCTCAGGGTCCTGGGATCGAGTCCCGCATCGGGCTCCCTGCTTAGCAGGGAGCCTGCTTCCCTCTCTCTCTCTCTCTGCCTGCCTCTCTGCCTACTTGTGATCTCTCTCTGTCAAATAAATAAATAAAATATTTAAAAAAGAAAAATTTAAAAACAAGGGCGCCTGGGTGGCTCAGTCAGCTAAGCATCTGCCTTCGGCTCTGGTCATAATCCCAGGGTCCTGGCATTGAGCACCACATTGGGCTCCCTGCTCAGCAGAGAGCCTGCTTCTCCCTCTCCCTCTGCCGCTCTGCCTGCTTGTACTCTCTATCTCTCTGTCAAATAAATAAATAAAATCTTTAAAATAAAAAAATTAAAAACAGAACTGCCATAGGATTCAGCAATTCCACTTCTGGGTATTTATCCAAAGAAAAACACTCACTTAAAAAGATTTATGCACCCCATGTTCACTGAAGCATTATTTCCAACAGCCAAGACATGGAGACAACCTCAGCGTCCACTGGACAGATGAACAGATAAAGAAAATGTGGTGTCTACCTACAATGTAATATTATTCAGCTTTATTTAAGAAAAAAAATGAAATCCTGACATTCAAGATAAAGTGGATAGATCTTGAGGGCATTATGCTAAGTGACATAAGTCAGAGAAAGATAAATACTGTATGATCTCATTTATATGCGGAATCTAGAACAAAAATGGAAGTACAAACAACCCATAGATACAGAGAAGAGACAAGTTTGCCAGGGGCAGTAGGTGAGTGGTGAGCAAAATAAATAAAGGTGGTCAAAAGACCCAAACTTCCAGTTGTAAGAGAAAAAGTTTCTAGGGACGTAATGTACAGCATGTTGACTATAGTTAACATGTGTTAACTATGTGCTGTGTTGTGAATGTATAGAATATATATATATTATGTGTTTTATATATATATATATAATATATAATATAATATATATGTGTGATTTTTATATATATATATATATATATATATATGTATATATAATCTGTTCTATTCTCTCATCCAACCCCAGGTCCCCCTTTCCCTGCCCCTGTCCTGTGAAAGCCAAGAACTGTGTTCAGAACACAGGGGTCAAGGTTACTTCCACTGTCCTAGTACATCAGTGACCCCCTCTTTCAGGAATAAGCTGGAGAGAGAAGGGGCTTGGGTAAATCTAGCTTCTCACAGGTGAAACAGGAGAAACCTAGCTTCTCACAGACAAACGTTGATCGATGGTGATGTGTGCCCTGGGAACAGAGCAGAGAGCGATACACCTCAGCAGGACAGAGGACTTGAGCTACGTATTCTCCATGTTCTCCACAGAAAGACAGCTCCTGGGCTCTCGGTCTTTGTGTTTATCTCCTTCTGTAATTTCTCTTCAGAAATTTAGTTTTTATTTATTCATTTATGTCATCTCGACACCCAGCGTGGGACTTGAACTCACGACCCCGATATCGAGAGTCGCATGCTCTTCTAAGCCAGCCAGGAGCTGCTCTCTTCAGAAATTTAAAAGGAAAGAATCTGCTTCTCTATTTCAATGGCTGACTTCAAAGTTTCCTTTGACAGTCTCCTCAAGGTCACTGGCCATCCTGTCTCAGTGGGCCTTCTGTGTCGTGCATGATGCCCACCCCCGCCACCCACCCACCAGGGGAGGTAATGTTTTCGGAGTCCACTCCTAACTCTGGAAGGAAGCCCTCTTGCTAGGCTACTAGAAAAGAGTAAAGAAAAATAAATGCCAGTAACAACATTCTAATATAAAATGAGAGAAGCCCTAAAGCACACTCATAAATACCAGAGAAAAAGTACAACTAAGATTCACATTTATTAATATTAAAGAAACCACAAAATTATAAGTTGGTTAATTTGTTCACATATTTCTTCGGTGAGGATTTTTGGTTAGTCATACCAAAATAGTTCATTTCTCTGTTACAAAAAAAATGATTTGCACCTAAAAAAAACCTGCTCATGCTTTCCTCCTCTCTCTCCTGCTCTCAAAATTCCATTCTTTTTAAAATCCCATCTTTTCTTCATCATACTTGGAATTCCAGGCAGTGTATCTGGCAGTTACACACACATTACTTCCAGATGGCTTCACAGAGGCTTAATTGAAAATAAAAACAAGATCTATAAATTAACTTCCATACTCACGTACAACCCGATTCCAAAACCCGTGAGCAAAAGGCTGACAGGATTCAACAGCCACGTAAAGACCGACAACAGGAATTTGTGTTAACATGTAAAAGGCACCTCAGAAAACGGTGATCTCATTTCCCATTCCCCCTAAAACACGATTCTTCGAGCTTTCTTAAACACTCATCAATATTAACATCAGGGATCCAGAAGCGTAATCACCATAGTAACATTCAAAACAATTCCACAGACCGTGTGATTTATTTCAAAAGTCCTCATTACGTTAAATCTACTTATCTTCTTATTTCTGAATCGGCCTTTAATACTTTTCCTGCATTCACTCAGAGCACGCGTAACTTCAAAAAGCTGAAAATGGGGATTCATTTCCAGCTGAGGATGGCCCGGGGCGGTGCTGTCGCTGCTGTGGGTGAAATCCTATGGAGGCCTCCCGGACCCTGAAACCTGAATCAACGACAAGGACCTCTGATTATTTGGTTATTTCTCCTACAGGTCATAAATACCTCCAACACTCACAAAACGGTGCCTCGATGAGGATAAAATGCAGGACACATAAACTACGTCCTGCGCCAAATTACCTCCACGGGAAAAAGCAGCCCATCAAGACTGAGAGGCCCACCCAGGTCTGGCAAGAGCCCAGAGCCAGGATCTCTCCCACGGGGCATGAGGGGGGCCCAGGGGAAGAACGCTTGGAAAGCCGTTGGTCAAGATGCTGAAATATATGTCTTTATCCCGCACATCAATAATTCCACTTTAGCGATCTAACTGACAGAAAACACTTTATTGTAAAACGGCCCTGGGAGCACCTGGGTGGCTCCATCTGTTAAAGGTCTGACTTCAGCTGGGGTTGTGATCTCGGGGTCCCGGGATCGAGCCCCACCACGGGCTCCCCACTCGGCAGGAAGGCTGCCTGTTCCTTTCCCTGTGCCCCTCCCCCTGCCTGTGCGTGTGTGCTCTCTCTCTCTCAAATGAATAAATAAAATCTTTAAAAAATAATAAAATAACATGATTCTGCATACAAAGATATATGTTA